AAAAAAAAAAAAAAAAAAAAAAAAAAGAAGCAATGGGCCAGACGCTCCACCAAAATGGAAATGGAGCCAGCCTACTAACCGCACTGAGGCTCCCAAAATGGATGTGGAGCCAGCCCCATAAGGTACTGTTTCAATCAAGGGAAAAAAAAAAAGGCTTGCAAAACACACCTTCTTGTCGTTGATGCATCTCCTTGAACGAAGTCCTCGAATATCTTCTCCCTCATCTCCAAGGGTATCCCCGGTCCTGTATCTTCTACCTCAAAAACAAGTACGACAGTATAAGGGCCAGTACCCTCCGCTGTACCCTTGTGGTCTTGTCTGTGTTCCTTGGTCGAATGGTCTGATCCGAGGTCCGCATCGCCCGGACCATCTTTGTGGATGCACATCATGACAGACTGAACTTTGCGCTTCAGCCTCGAGACAAAATATTTGAAGAGGCGCCGAACTGCCGAGAAGAGGTGTCTTTGCGAGCAGCGAAACATCTCAGACCACGAAAACTGCTCGCACAGGCAGCCAGGCTGATAATCCGTCCCCGTAGTAAGGGCATGGTCGTCTGCGTGCGTGACCTTGTGACGACCCTTGTTAGCCACCTTCACGTCAACACGTGACCGCTTCACGTTATGAACCCAGCCGCGGACAACAACATACCCCGAAGATGTAAACTTGACAGCATTCCCAACCAGATTTGTGAAGATCTGAAGAACACGGGCCTGGTCTCCCCTGACTATCTCCGGAACATCATCTGCCATGAGTCCAAACAACATCAAGAATCATTTAAACCACCAGTACTTGTCCCAGCTATCGGCCGTGGAGAAAATAGAATAGAAATGTTTCTAGTCCGATGAAATTGAGCGCTCCTGTAGTGACCCGTACATTTCCTTTTTTTTTTTTTAAATAGAATAGAAATGTTTCTAGTCCGATGAAATTGAGCGCTCCTGTAGTGACCCGTACATTTCCTTTTTTTTTTTTTAAATAGAATAGAAATGTTTCTAGTCCGATGAAATTGAGCGCTCCTGTAGTGACCCGTACATTTCCTTTTTTTTTTTTTAAATAGAATAGAAATGTTTCTAGTCCGATGAAATTGAGCGCTCCTGTAGTGACCCGTACATTTCCTTTTTTTTTTTTTAAATAGAATAGAAATGTTTCTAGTCCGATGAAATTGAGCGCTCCTGTAGTGACCCGTACATTTCCTTTTTTTTTTTTTAAATAGAATAGAAATGTTTCTAGTCCGATGAAATTGAGCGCTCCTGTAGTGACCCGTACATTTCCTTTTTTTTTTTTTAAATAGAATAGAAATGTTTCTAGTCCGATGAAATTGAGCGCTCCTGTAGTGACCCGTACATTTCCTTTTTTTTTTTTTAAATAGAATAGAAATGTTTCTAGTCCGATGAAATTGAGCGCTCCTGTAGTGACCCGTACATTTCCTTTTTTTTTTTTTAAATAGAATAGAAATGTTTCTAGTCCGATGAAATTGAGCGCTCCTGTAGTGACCCGTACATTTCCTTTTTTTTTTTTTAAATAGAATAGAAATGTTTCTAGTCCGATGAAATTGAGCGCTCCTGTAGTGACCCGTACATTTCCTTTTTTTTTTTTTAAATAGAATAGAAATGTTTCTAGTCCGATGAAATTGAGCGCTCCTGTAGTGACCCGTACATTTCCTTTTTTTTTTTTTAAATAGAATAGAAATGTTTCTAGTCCGATGAAATTGAGCGCTCCTGTAGTGACCCGTACATTTCCTTTTTTTTTTTTTAAATAGAATAGAAATGTTTCTAGTCCGATGAAATTGAGCGCTCCTGTAGTGACCCGTACATTTCCTTTTTTTTTTTTTAAATAGAATAGAAATGTTTCTAGTCCGATGAAATTGAGCGCTCCTGTAGTGACCCGTACATTTCCTTTTTTTTTTTTTAAATAGAATAGAAATGTTTCTAGTCCGATGAAATTGAGCGCTCCTGTAGTGACCCGTACATTTCCTTTTTTTTTTTTTAAATAGAATAGAAATGTTTCTAGTCCGATGAAATTGAGCGCTCCTGTAGTGACCCGTACATTTCCTTTTTTTTTTTTTAAATAGAATAGAAATGTTTCTAGTCCGATGAAATTGAGCGCTCCTGTAGTGACCCGTACATTTCCTTTTTTTTTTTTTAAATAGAATAGAAATGTTTCTAGTCCGATGAAATTGAGCGCTCCTGTAGTGACCCGTACATTTCCTTTTTTTTTTTTTAAATAGAATAGAAATGTTTCTAGTCCGATGAAATTGAGCGCTCCTGTAGTGACCCGTACATTTCCTTTTTTTTTTTTTAAATAGAATAGAAATGTTTCTAGTCCGATGAAATTGAGCGCTCCTGTAGTGACCCGTACATTTCCTTTTTTTTTTTTTAAATAGAATAGAAATGTTTCTAGTCCGATGAAATTGAGCGCTCCTGTAGTGACCCGTACATTTCCTTTTTTTTTTTTTAAATAGAATAGAAATGTTTCTAGTCCGATGAAATTGAGCGCTCCTGTAGTGACCCGTACATTTCCTTTTTTTTTTTTTAAATAGAATAGAAATGTTTCTAGTCCGATGAAATTGAGCGCTCCTGTAGTGACCCGTACATTTCCTTTTTTTTTTTTTAAATAGAATAGAAATGTTTCTAGTCCGATGAAATTGAGCGCTCCTGTAGTGACCCGTACATTTCCTTTTTTTTTTTTTAAATAGAATAGAAATGTTTCTAGTCCGATGAAATTGAGCGCTCCTGTAGTGACCCGTACATTTCCTTTTTTTTTTTTTAAATAGAATAGAAATGTTTCTAGTCCGATGAAATTGAGCGCTCCTGTAGTGACCCGTACATTTCCTTTTTTTTTTTTTAAATAGAATAGAAATGTTTCTAGTCCGATGAAATTGAGCGCTCCTGTAGTGACCCGTACATTTCCTTTTTTTTTTTTTAAATAGAATAGAAATGTTTCTAGTCCGATGAAATTGAGCGCTCCTGTAGTGACCCGTACATTTCCTTTTTTTTTTTTTAAATAGAATAGAAATGTTTCTAGTCCGATGAAATTGAGCGCTCCTGTAGTGACCCGTACATTTCCTTTTTTTTTTTTTAAATAGAATAGAAATGTTTCTAGTCCGATGAAATTGAGCGCTCCTGTAGTGACCCGTACATTTCCTTTTTTTTTTTTTAAATAGAATAGAAATGTTTCTAGTCCGATGAAATTGAGCGCTCCTGTAGTGACCCGTACATTTCCTTTTTTTTTTTTTAAATAGAATAGAAATGTTTCTAGTCCGATGAAATTGAGCGCTCCTGTAGTGACCCGTACATTTCCTTTTTTTTTTTTTAAATAGAATAGAAATGTTTCTAGTCCGATGAAATTGAGCGCTCCTGTAGTGACCCGTACATTTCCTTTTTTTTTTTTTAAATAGAATAGAAATGTTTCTAGTCCGATGAAATTGAGCGCTCCTGTAGTGACCCGTACATTTCCTTTTTTTTTTTTTAAATAGAATAGAAATGTTTCTAGTCCGATGAAATTGAGCGCTCCTGTAGTGACCCGTACATTTCCTTTTTTTTTTTTTAAATAGAATAGAAATGTTTCTAGTCCGATGAAATTGAGCGCTCCTGTAGTGACCCGTACATTTCCTTTTTTTTTTTTTAAATAGAATAGAAATGTTTCTAGTCCGATGAAATTGAGCGCTCCTGTAGTGACCCGTACATTTCCTTTTTTTTTTTTTAAATAGAATAGAAATGTTTCTAGTCCGATGAAATTGAGCGCTCCTGTAGTGACCCGTACATTTCCTTTTTTTTTTTTTAAATAGAATAGAAATGTTTCTAGTCCGATGAAATTGAGCGCTCCTGTAGTGACCCGTACATTTCCTTTTTTTTTTTTTAAATAGAATAGAAATGTTTCTAGTCCGATGAAATTGAGCGCTCCTGTAGTGACCCGTACATTTCCTTTTTTTTTTTTTAAATAGAATAGAAATGTTTCTAGTCCGATGAAATTGAGCGCTCCTGTAGTGACCCGTACATTTCCTTTTTTTTTTTTTAAATAGAATAGAAATGTTTCTAGTCCGATGAAATTGAGCGCTCCTGTAGTGACCCGTACATTTCCTTTTTTTTTTTTTAAATAGAATAGAAATGTTTCTAGTCCGATGAAATTGAGCGCTCCTGTAGTGACCCGTACATTTCCTTTTTTTTTTTTTAAATAGAATAGAAATGTTTCTAGTCCGATGAAATTGAGCGCTCCTGTAGTGACCCGTACATTTCCTTTTTTTTTTTTTAAATAGAATAGAAATGTTTCTAGTCCGATGAAATTGAGCGCTCCTGTAGTGACCCGTACATTTCCTTTTTTTTTTTTTAAATAGAATAGAAATGTTTCTAGTCCGATGAAATTGAGCGCTCCTGTAGTGACCCGTACATTTCCTTTTTTTTTTTTTAAATAGAATAGAAATGTTTCTAGTCCGATGAAATTGAGCGCTCCTGTAGTGACCCGTACATTTCCTTTTTTTTTTTTTAAATAGAATAGAAATGTTTCTAGTCCGATGAAATTGAGCGCTCCTGTAGTGACCCGTACATTTCCTTTTTTTTTTTTTAAATAGAATAGAAATGTTTCTAGTCCGATGAAATTGAGCGCTCCTGTAGTGACCCGTACATTTCCTTTTTTTTTTTTTAAATAGAATAGAAATGTTTCTAGTCCGATGAAATTGAGCGCTCCTGTAGTGACCCGTACATTTCCTTTTTTTTTTTTTAAATAGAATAGAAATGTTTCTAGTCCGATGAAATTGAGCGCTCCTGTAGTGACCCGTACATTTCCTTTTTTTTTTTTTAAATAGAATAGAAATGTTTCTAGTCCGATGAAATTGAGCGCTCCTGTAGTGACCCGTACATTTCCTTTTTTTTTTTTTAAATAGAATAGAAATGTTTCTAGTCCGATGAAATTGAGCGCTCCTGTAGTGACCCGTACATTTCCTTTTTTTTTTTTTAAATAGAATAGAAATGTTTCTAGTCCGATGAAATTGAGCGCTCCTGTAGTGACCCGTACATTTCCTTTTTTTTTTTTTAAATAGAATAGAAATGTTTCTAGTCCGATGAAATTGAGCGCTCCTGTAGTGACCCGTACATTTCCTTTTTTTTTTTTTAAATAGAATAGAAATGTTTCTAGTCCGATGAAATTGAGCGCTCCTGTAGTGACCCGTACATTTCCTTTTTTTTTTTTTAAATAGAATAGAAATGTTTCTAGTCCGATGAAATTGAGCGCTCCTGTAGTGACCCGTACATTTCCTTTTTTTTTTTTTAAATAGAATAGAAATGTTTCTAGTCCGATGAAATTGAGCGCTCCTGTAGTGACCCGTACATTTCCTTTTTTTTTTTTTAAATAGAATAGAAATGTTTCTAGTCCGATGAAATTGAGCGCTCCTGTAGTGACCCGTACATTTCCTTTTTTTTTTTTTAAATAGAATAGAAATGTTTCTAGTCCGATGAAATTGAGCGCTCCTGTAGTGACCCGTACATTTCCTTTTTTTTTTTTTAAATAGAATAGAAATGTTTCTAGTCCGATGAAATTGAGCGCTCCTGTAGTGACCCGTACATTTCCTTTTTTTTTTTTTAAATAGAATAGAAATGTTTCTAGTCCGATGAAATTGAGCGCTCCTGTAGTGACCCGTACATTTCCTTTTTTTTTTTTTAAATAGAATAGAAATGTTTCTAGTCCGATGAAATTGAGCGCTCCTGTAGTGACCCGTACATTTCCTTTTTTTTTTTTTAAATAGAATAGAAA